ATCAACAATCATATCGTGGTAGTCAATTACAACCATTAGCTGATATCTCCACTAAACAACAACAACCTCTCGGTTCAGAATATGATTCATCCACTATTCTAAGACAAAATGACATGATGCCATCATCACAGGTATCAAGTTATGATTCACCCACTATTTCAAGACAAAATGACATGATGCCATCATCACAGGTATCAAGTTATGATTCACCCACTATTTCAAGACAAACTGACATGATGCCATCATCACAATTACTCAGTTCAGACCAATTTGTTCAACAACAAAAGCAACCAACATTTTCATCACGTTTTAGTCAAGAGCAGCTGCAGCCGTCTGCCAGTGATTATGTCAAGTAAAGTTTAAATATTTGTTTCATGTATATGTACGTGTATGTGTGCAACAATAATTTTTTGAAACATCTTTCTCTTTTACTCTCTCTTTTCTTTCACTTTCTCTCTCCCTCTCTCTCTCTCTCTGTGCATGTTACCAGCTAGAAATACTCGCTCTCTCTCTCTCTTCTGTAGTAACATCTTCAGAAGTTCTCTCTCTCTCAAGTAACCAAATATTGTAACATCTACTAGACTGGCGACGTCGATTTCTTCTCTTCTCTTTGTTATTACGTTTTTGTTTTTTAACGTTTTTTATGTTTTTCATTTTATATTAAATTGTTTTGCTTTATTTCTCATTGCTGTTTCTATTTGTTTCGACTTTATTTTGATTGAGCTCGATTATTTGTTTGTTTTTATCTCGTTGAACCGGTTTATTTCTTGGTTTTTATTTTTGGTTATTGGTAAATACTTTTTCTTTTTACCAATAAAATTTTGTTTGATAAAAAGAAATTTTATGAATTCAAACAAGCAGTGAACGAAAGATGGAAAACATGTACGCTCTCGGCGAATCAAATTCTCAAGAAGAAGGATGCAGCCGAGATGAGAAAAACCATCAATACTATCCAGCCATTGATTTCTTTCGGAGGCAAAAGAAGCAAAGGAACGAGAGTGCATTATGAAAGAAACATTCATTTTCGGAGAAGTGGAATCGCAAAAAGAACAAATTTGCTTCAGAACGTGTTTATGATAACTCGGAATAGAAAGTTCCCAAGTTAAGCAATCCTACAAGGATCTTGGTGGTAATAGGATTCCTTCGTTCTGTATATATATTTTTTTCTTTTTCTATGCAGGAACATAACCACCAAGAGAGTGGTTAGAGTTACTGTTTTCCAGTAACTACTCTAATATAAATACAACTTTACCGTAGAAAATGGAAAATTCTTTTAGGCTCAAATTTTTTTTTGATAACTACAAATATTGAAAATGTTGAATTGTAATTGATTCACGCCACTTGGGTGGGACTTCTTTACGAGAGCATAATGTAATCAATAACGATAATTTCGTAGGTGGTAAAATCAGCTGTAATAGCGGGGCGGGATTACCTCATGTTTCAAAGTCAAGCAATAACGACATTCATTTCAAATTAAAATAGAGTGCAGGTATAATGAAATCTGAGCATAACTTCTAGAAATTCATCTGGTTAGCGATGTTTAGAAAAAATGCTTGCAGAAGAAATAAATTGGTATCGGTGTACTCTTTTTCTGAGAACAATGTTGACTCTCTAACAATAAAGGTGCTGTTATTAACTGTAACTGCTTTACTACGAATAAATGAAACCTGTAAATAAAATATATTTGATGAAGTCGCTACTTTGACAGCTTTTATTTTCAATTGTAGATTATCTTATATTTAAGCAAACAAAACTTAAATCATCTGAAGTAATCTGCCCTTTTTTCTCTCGAAAAACACCTTTTTTATAAATTTATATCAGGCGTTGACATTCCAAATTTCTTATTTTCGATTGACATTTTTTAGGTATAAATGTGATACTATCACGCCAAACAACGTAAGAATCTTTTATATCTCATCGAATAATAATAAGAAATGTGCTGCATGCACGCACGCATTAAACGATTAATCGTGAACATTGAACAGATACCCAAATTTTGATTATTTTTATTTATTCGGTAGTTTCATTTTTCTCGCGGCTAAATATACTCATTACATGGACAGATTTTAAAACTAATTCTAGTTTATCCTTTATCCGAATATTCAGATTCATAGCAGCGAAATTATTCCTCAAAATTCTGCCCCAAAGGTGAGTTTATCATCCCTAATCGTTTATGAGAAACAACCGACTGTTAATTTGCATTTCCTACATGTTAGTTTTATTAAACTATATAGACTATATATCCAGAGTGCCCAAATCCCCTGATTTGAGCAGGAGACTTATACTTTTTTTTGAGGAGATTTTTACACTTTTCTCCTGAAGAAAATTCTCCTGATTTCAGGAGCTGATTTTTAAGATTTTCTCCTGATTTTCGATTGTTTTCCTACATCGATTTTGTTTACTTCAAAACAGGTTATCAGTTTCAGAAACAGAATTTCTGGATCAAGAGTCTACATAATTGTACATTGAAAGAGTCCGCTGTATGTTTATCGAATGTTTTCATCACAAGAAGATGAGATTAGTGAACTTCCAAATTCATCGGATCAAAAACTTTTTCCTCAATCCGCACTGCAGTCTGTAACAAATGATAATACTGTTCCATCAAAAAATATTTCAAAAAACGCTATGTTTTTGAAAAGGTGATTGGATATTTTTGTTTTGCTTGTCGAAAAAAAAACTGTCTAATACTCTCCTGTTTTTCTTCTGATTTCGAAAAAAATCTACTGATTTTCCTCCTGATTTTTTAGAAAAAAATTTCTGACCAATTTCTGATTTTTAACGAAAAGCTCCTGATTTTCAAAAATTGGGTTTGGGCACCCCGTATATATCTATCTGATGAAAAAGAAACAAATATTTTCTTCTTTTGTTCTTTTTTTCATTTTCCTTTCGCTTTTTATTTCATATAGCCATTGGATAATTTGAAAAGAATGACTATACATTTCTGACATATTTTTGAAAGAACACATTAACAGATATTATATAATATGTACAAATTATGTAATGTTATTGGCCACGTACATATAACTAGTGTTTTTTTTAATCAAGTATTATTTTTATATTTCTACAATTGTATGATATGACTATCATCGAAGAAAAACATACATGTTGATGCAGTCGATATCATTGCAAAACAATTTACACTTCAGATGATTAGAGACCAAGAACGAGTGTATTATGAACAAAGAACACCAATGGATCAGAGAAATGATGGTGGTGAAATTAATGACCAACAATCGAAACTTATTGATGGAAATGTCATCTATTCTCCGATTAATCAGCGTAAGTTATTGAAGATAAATAAAAGAGAGCAGTATCATAAACAAAGAAGAGAAATGATTATATAGAAACTGAGAGATTGAACCAGCAGAGTAGCGGAGAACTGTTTTAAAAATGGGATTTTAAGACGCTGACAACGATATAGTTAATAGCCTGTTAAATGGCCGGCCGATTTCCCACTTAGACAGCTTTTGATCGTTTTAGAACTTGACACTGAACATTCTATTGCCTGAAAATGCCAGCTTTTTTTACGGTCGAAAATCAGGTATTTAATAATGATGATCGTCCTAAGACTATTTTTTACACTGTTATCTGGGTCCATTTTAAGAATTTTTTCTTAGATTGATTATTTTTTATTATCTCAGAAAAAATGTTGAATAGTTAAATAGAGGCTTATAGTATAGTAACGTTCTAAAAACAGACAGTAGACACCGGTGATCATTAACAAGCTAATTGCTAACAGTTTTAAGGTCGGTAAACGTTCGCTGTACTGTTCCAGTCAATGAACATCCAATAACCTGTTCTAGTAATGTGGATAAATTAGATTAAAAAATTACACGTGCTTACATCCACGCACAGCTAACCCAAATGAAGCTATTCATGGCCATCACCAAAAGTGTTTTACCCATGTCCCTGGGTATACATGGTCATGAGTACGTTCAAAGATAATGACCGCAGAATGCAATTGTATGTGCGAATATATTCATAAACTTTTTCTCTCACAGAATGAACAATTATTAATAGTGATATCGTTCTTATATAAATATCGTCGGTGCACAAAAGAAAAAACTTGTTTTAGTTTCTCATGTTCTGGTTCTTAAATAAGAACATATTTGTATCCTACAATCCTCTTTATGTCGTATAGTATGGATGGTTAGGTAATCATCACGTCTTGACTCACTCTGCCATCGCAATGTCATTTTTTCCCTTCTTATTTTTTCCTCGTTTTTTTTCTCGAGTATATAGAGACTTATGTAATGCTATATACACTGGTCGACGTTCTTGTAGATATTCTTGCAAGATTCTTGTCTCTTGCCATTTCAGACAAGAATCTTCAAATTTGCCTTGATAGATCAGACAAGATTCTTCATATTTGTCTTGATAGATCAGACAAGATTCTTCTCTTAATTTTTTATTGATTTTTCATCTTTTTCCGCTAAAGATTCTTGTCTGACATGCCAAGAAACAAGAACTTTGCAAGAATACCTACAAGAGCGTCGACCAGTATAGATCTACAGAGGAACAAAATATTTCAGTGGTATTTTTCTTTCCATCATTTTATGTAATGTCTGTACCACGTGGCAAAGTCTATATCAAGAGCTACAAGAGATGATTTGAAATTTACACCCTTCATGAGTACTAGGCCGGGTGAATGTAGAATTAATATGAGAAAAAATAAGATGAACACTCACACTTAAATATATTTTAAATGTGAAAAATTTTGCTGGAATGCGTACATTATTTGTCCTAGCACATCGCATAAACAAAAGAAGTTTTCGTCAAATTTAAATATAAACACCTGTAAGTTTTGTTGGTTTGTGATGTGTATTTATTTGGTTTTAGTGTCTGGCCCTATCTCTACCTAGCGGCGCCTCAATATCTCGGAGGCAGGGGGCGGGGGGCGAAGTCAATTTCAGAGTAAATTTTTATGCTTTTAAAAATTGAAGTAAAACTTTAAAAAAAGATAAATATTCTAAGCAGTTTTCTAAAGAAAGACTGAATTTCCTGTTATGATCTTCACCTTCGGTTAGATCATATCATCACTTCTCCTATTCTTCTTATAAAATACATATATATGCTTTGTGCGTTATTCTCTATGTTCTGGGATTTTCCCCATATGTAACTTTCTCTATTCTGTTTCTTTCCTTTCTTTTTGAATGATGGGGTTTCTCCCTATTCTGTCTGGGGAATTTCCTTTAACTCGGACATACCATATCTAATGCATTGTTCATAAACCTATATATAGTTGCTGATTTTTTATAATAAAGTGTGAGTGTATCAGTTATATGCATCTTTGGATATTAAAAGGTGAATTCAGAAGAAATCACAATATAACATTTGTTCACTGACCAACGGACAAGAAAACAAGGCTTACATTTCCTTCTATCTAATTGTATTTACTTCAGTACAAAAGCTTATCATGAATATTGCAAAAATTCCTGGAAAAATGTCTCTTTGTTTTTCTTCTACTAAAACATGTTTTGGAAAAATAGCTATTCAGAATCTACATTCTTGAGTAGATCTACATCTTTCATTCAAGAGCTTTCTAACTGTATGTTCAAAAATTTTTTATCGCTTGTGACCTTCGAGCAGTAAGTGCATCTTTGAAGGGTACTAAAATGTAGTCTGTAACGAAAAGAAACTTGTGTATCTTTTGAATTTCAACCGTAATAGCATTAAAATGAGAGATCAAACTATGGTTGTTTCCATAAGAGATTACAGAGTAGACTTTTCTCTACAAAACAGATTCTCCGGAATTATTTTGTGTATTGAAAACTGAGCATCCTTTTAAACTATGCAAAGTCATCGTTTTTTGAAAAATCGTGTTTTTTCTGGCATAGAAACTGGTAAAAGTAAGATTTTTCCAGCAGCTTTATATATTTGTACACTCCTTGAAAATGAAAATATAAATTTTCGAAACGTCAGAATAAATAAATATTCAAATGACTTTATATAAAGCTGCTGTAAAAATCTTACTTTTACTTCGTTTATTACCCATCAATAACTGAAATAGAAACTAGTGTTCGCAAAATAACGATAATTTCTAAAGCTTTTGCCCTATATCCTATTTGAGCACGTCGTTTTGCAGAGAAAAGTCTGCTCTAATAGTTTACATTGTTAAAATAATTCTACTCAACGGCATTGAATTTTAAGCTTGGAAAAATTCCATATATTCCTCTTTCTAGACCAAACGTTGGTGTCTTTGAAAGATTCACTTTGTGCTCGTAGGTCAGAAACAAAAAGTTTTCGAACAGTAAGTGAAGAAGTTCTTCAAATGTAGATTTCGAAGAACTTGTTATTTTTTTCTAAAATAGTTTTAACACAAGAAAAATGAAATGACATTTGCACAAGAACTTTTGCAACATCCGTTTTTTACGGACTAGTTTTTTGTGTCAGTCAAAGAAGCGCTTACTGCTCGAAGGTCACAAGTGAATCGAAATTTTTTGAACATTCAGCTAGAAAGCTGTTGAAATGTAGATTCTGAATAGCTAGCTATTTTTCATTTTTCCAAAACATGTTTTAGCTGAAGAAAGGTGAAGAGACATTTTTCCAGGAACTTTTGCAATACCCGTTAATATAAAAACACATTATAATATAAAAATACATTCACTGAAGCCATGATACAGTCTATTCTACTTATCTTATCTTATTTATGTACATGACAGAAATTTTATTTTCTATCAAACACAGAAAGAGAAAAAAACAAATGCTTTACTCTAAAAATGAAAGTCTATATCTTACTCCAAAAATAGAAGTAAATACCTTACTTTTGAAAAGAGAGTAAATTCCTAACTATGAAACTGAGAGTAAGCCTTTTACTGTCAAAATGCGAATAAATATCTTAATCCAAAACTGAGAGTAAACGTCTTACTCTGAAAATGGGAATAAGCGCTTTACTTCGAGACTGAGAGTAAGCCTTTTATACTCTAAAAATGAGAGGAATTGTGTTACTCTGAAAAGAGGAGTAAACGCTTTACTTCGTGGAATATTCTCGTAAATCAAAGACGTAATTTTCGGAGTAAACTTTTCAAAAAGCAGGGAGATCCCTTCCCTGTCCCTCCCCCCTCCTTTATCGGAGCGCCCCGATCTCTACCATCCGATTCAAAATAGAATGCACTCGAAACTTTTTTAGCTTTTAAGCCATTATAATATACGTCAAGTTCTGTAATAGTTACTGCTTGACTATGGTAACAGACATTGTTTTTATAAAAATCTGTTGTCACAAGGTTTTAGAGTATTTTTCACAAACAAAGATTACCACTAGAATCCCAGGTTCAAGAATTAGACAACAAGATCTTACAAGATCATATACGATCTTGAAGGATCATATGATAAGCAATCACAAGATTTACAAAAAAAAATTTATTTCAAAAGATTTACAAGATTCCATAGAACGTCTTGTAGCAAGATTTTTATAAGATTTTTCTTATGATAGAGCTGTCCAAGATTCTGTATAATCGTATAAGATCTTACAGAAAGAAGCTGTAAGAAATTATACGACCTTATAAGAGGTCACAAGATTTTATATGATCTCATAAGATCATACGTTTGCTCATTTAGTGTCGAATCCCTCTATACCTCTGTCATTTTCTTTTTCTCTAATTTCTAACACTCACAGATTCAAGAATTCATATGATCTTGTAAGATCTTAGAAAACCTTGTGGCAGACATTGTTGACTTCTATATATTTTCTTGCCATAAGATTATATAAGGTCTTATAAGACTATACGAATTCTTGTCATAAGATCTTACATTATCTTATAATAAGATCATATCGTAAGATCTTATTATAAGATTTTACAAGAAAACATTAGATTTTGCAAGGTCTTACAACACGTGATTCACCTGGAAACACAGGGTACATCGAGGCTGAATGAGAATGCTCTAGAACTGAACCATTCATCATTTTTTGTCTTTTTGTATATCTGTAATAACTGCACTAGTCGACGATCAACTATGCAGTCTTATCAGGGCTAAGTCAGACTTCATTAAAATGTATCTGCTGATTCAGAGATGAAAACTCCGAGTAGCTCATTCAGCTCTAAATCGAATGATGGAATCAGGGCTGAATTTTTTTGAAAACGACAATTTTTCCGATAATTTCACAGCTGATTCTGCTCAGATTTTTCAGCTCTAAATCAGTTATGAGAAGAAAAAGCTTCATGTAAATAACAAAGATTTCTAAGCTTTGAGAAAGATTAGAATAGTGCAAACAACTTAAATAACTTTGACTATTATAAATATTTAAGCGCAGTATTATCTTACATAGGAAAATATTACTGTTACTACCAAGCACACTACCTAAGTCTTCAGCATCATATGATTACTTGAGTCAGCCCTGAAAGCACTGATAAGGATATTCATTTGCGATATATCTGTCCATTTTATAAGGTAAGACATTTTCTCAGGTAAATCAGAAAGTAGGTTAAATATTTTTTTGAAAGTTATGTCACTACTTTTACGGTGTGCACTTTTACGTAATCAATTTTACATAATCTTTTGTTCCTATAAATCAATTTTTTTTCTTATTTTGTAGTTAATAAGCCCGATTCAATGATGTCATTAAATCCATTTCGTTGTAAATCTACAATATGTCTAATTGCGGGTGTTCTATGTTTGATAAGTGGTTTAGTATTAATATTTCTGTTGGATGTATTAGTTCATAAAATACTAGCCAGGGTAAAATAAACAGTTTTTTTATATATTTTTGGTTGAAGATAAATTTTATTGTGAATATTGTCGTATTTTAGAAATTGGTAATTGTCGAAGGTCAAGAAGGATATAAATTTTGGAAAGATCCACCAGCGAATATTCATCGAAAGATGTACATTTGGCATTGTTCAAATCCATGTAAGTTGAATTTAACGATTAAATGAGTCCCATTTTTAATCAACGCGCGATTGAATCGGCGCAGGAAAGAAAAGAAAAGTGAGCCATAAATAGACGTAAAGTTTAAAATGTGCCTTTAATCAGAGTTTAACTGTGACATTCTATAACATCTTTCTTCCGTAACATATTTTCCCTTCTTTGTTAACCACTTAGTCATGCAGATTTGAGAAAAACATCAACTAAACATACAAAGTTGTTTTGATATCTATTTTAATTATCATATAATTAGTCTTACAACAGGAGCAGGTTTTAGATAATTTTGTTGTTCCATTCTATGTAAATTAGTAATCGATTAACTAGTAGCTAGACTATAGAATATATTATTTTCAGTCGAACTAAACGCAGATTGAATGATTAGTTAGTCATGAGACACTGATCTAAACTACCTAACTGGATGTAATATCATTGATCAAATCTTACCTCGAAGGCTTAATTGTAAACCCTATAGTGAGAAACTTACTCGAATCTTGTTAAGATGTTAGGAATATTTTATTATGATCTGCCGGGATTTCTTTGACCTTTGTCTAAATGACAAATATTATTAAGATTGTGAGATCTAAAAATGTTAAGACGTGATAAGATGTTGCTAAGGTTTGTTAAGATTGACTAAGAATCTGTTAGGATCTTACTAAGAACTATTACGATTTTTTCAATAAAAATTCATTCACGATTTACTAATAAATTTTGAATATCTAAGTTCTGCTAGATTTCTTTTACATAATGGAATTCTTGTTCGAGTCTGCGGTGCTACACTATTAAAGCTCGAGTAGAATAGATCTAAAGAATAAAACAAGATTTCATGTTGTTAGACGACCATTCCGATCGGGAAGTTTTATCGACTTTTCACGCGTGTAGGACCGTGAAATGTTAGCTTAGATTTTCACAAAGTTTTATAGGTAAAGAGAGTAAGTTTCATAGCGTCCGAATCGTTTAGTTGCAACATCAAACGCTTTGTCATTTCTGAAAAATCTTCACATGTATACACAAGTGAACGATCTTCACGCGTGATCGATCACTTGTGAAAAAATAGTGACCAACAAAGTATACTTTCCTCATACGCTATCACACCCTCATCGATGTTATCTCACCTAATTTTTTTCACACGTGTGTTCATTAGAATCTAGTTAAATCTTACGATTTTTGTTTTCTGTATATTTTCTGCAAATGAGAATCGCAAAAAGAACCTAAATTACAAGATCTATTATTTCTTCCATCTTCATGTATTATTGGAAAAACGTCCTTTAATTAAGATAGAGCAAATGAATATTATTATTATTATTATTATTATCTTCAGTATCCAAATTTCACAGAAAGTACATAATTTTAAAGTTTCGAATTTGTATTTGTATACAGTTACTTCTCGTCTACACGTCAAAGTTTGTACTTTTACATCTTGACGTATGGTAATCATCACAGTTCATTTCATGATATTCACAGGTGTACACGCCGTTTTATGTACTAAAATTTTCCCATGTGATACGTTTTAAATGTTATTTATATAGATGTATAAGAACGAAACCAAAGTGTGAATAAAAGTATACTCCTCAAATCTTATTCAAATCTTAATTGAGATCTTATAAAGATAATTTCAAGAGGTATCTAAGATTTTACCGGGGAAGAGTTAGTTACATATTTGACAAATATATAAAAATTTTTGTTAAAAAAATTAAAAGTTGATAGAATGTTAAAGCGCTTGGATCGTCTCAATGTTTTCTACAATATATTTGAATTTTTTAGTTGAAGTACAATATGGTGCACCTCCGAGAATGATCGAAAAAGGACCGTACGTTTACAGGTAATTTTTATCTAAAATTATTCAAGAGAATGACGGTTATTTTTTATTACATTTAATTTAGAGAACAATGGAATCGATCAAATATTCGGTATAGTGATCCTGATGCTTTATCTTATATACCTATCACAACTTTATACTTCGATCGCCAACAATCAGTTGGACCCGATGATAAATATATGACCGTTCTCAATATTCCATTAATGGTTGGTTTAACATAAAAGGAGTCTTTTGTTTTGTGTAAAACCAACTTTCCATCTGTTTTTTTAGGCATTTGCTCATCAAACACAGTATTATCCAGAAATAGTACAAGAAGGATTTAATTTAATGTTGAAAGTTTTTAACACGACATTATTTATTAATGTTACAGTTAAAGAACTAATGGAAGGTACGCAGTTCACTTGTTTGTGATGTATCGAGTAATTATTATGAGGAAGGTGTGATGATGCTAATTTTGGACGTTGTAGATGTTATGATGATGATCGGCGATTTAGACTTTTAGAGATTTGTTATTTGTTCTACACTACTAAGTGCCCTTCTTCAACTCTAACTTGTTGTATGGCGGCTTACTCTCATGCTTCTATTCGACTATGCCGAATTTTTCGCCGAGTTTTAGACTTTCTCCTAGAAAAATTCGAGATAGTTGGAAGAAGGAGAGTGAACCACCATATAACAAGTTAGAGTTGAAGAAGGGCACTTAGTAGTATAGAACAAATAACAAATCTCTAAAAGTCTAAATCGCCGATCACCACCATAACATCTACAACATCCAAGATTAGCACCATCATACCTTAATGGTTATTATTGTTATTATTTTGTAGGATATACTGATCCATTAATTAAAATGGCATCAGCATTTGAACCAGATATAATGAAAGATGCCAAATTTGGAATACTGAGCACTGTAGGTGAGAAGACACACAGCAAAATTTGATACTAATATGTATCTATTTTTGTTTGATATTTTGCTATTGTATAGCGCAATGGTTCGTATTATCAAAATTTTACAATACACACCGGACAAAATGATATTGCCAATGTAGCAAAAGTTATCTCGTTTAATGGTGTCAAGTATGTATAATATTTCAGATTTAATCAAAAAAGAAGATTTCAATTTTGTCGTATTTATAAGAGTACTCAACTATTGGTCTACTTCGCAAGCTAATATGTTGAATGGAACAGGTGTGAATCTTTAGTAGCAAATAACAAGACAATAATGTTAATTCTTGAGAGCTGTTATCTTAGATGGATCGTTGTTTCCTCCGTTTCTGACCAAAGATCGTCGAGTCTATTCTTACAATGCCGATATGTGTCGATCTTATTATCTCTCATATCTTCGTGAAAAAAAAGATGGATGGATATCGCTTTATGATTTTCATTTGCCATCGGATATATTCAACAACTCATTAGATGAAAATAAAGGATTTTGTTTTAATAATAAGTGTCTTGGTCAAGGTGTTTTGAACATAAGCACATGTTATTATGGTAAGCTGATGACTTGTGGATCAAACAGAAAAAGCTTAGTTACTCATTTATTTATTTTGAAGGGGTGTGGGGATTTATATCGCAGCCACATTTTTTTCAAGCTGAAGAAAAATTTCGAGAACAAATTATTGGAATGAAACCAGATGCGAATAAACATGAATTTCTAATGAGTTTTGATCCTGTTACCAGTGTTCCATTTAGTGTAAATGTTCGGTTACAACTCAATTTTTACATGCCGAATGTTCCTAAATTCGAGTATGCATTATCAATTACTCAGACATCGCTCTATTTTAATAGTTACACTTTCCTTTATTGATAGCCTCTTGAAAAAAGTTCGGCCAGCATTAGTACCGAGTGTGTGGTTTGACGATGTAAGTAGAGTTAGTTAATTCGATTAAATCACCTACAAGCTCAACGGTATTTTTTTCAGTCAGCTAAAATATCGTCCGATGTTCATTCACAATTAATAACTGTCCTTGTAATAATAAAAATTTTTCATATGATAAAATATATTCTAACCGGTATCGGTGGATTGGTAATATTTGTTTCGTTATTAGTCATTTACATTCGAGTAAGTATTATTTGGCACTCAATCGATTGCATGTAGTTATTTATGTATTTTGTGTTTCAGTGGAACCGTATACGTCGATTTCGAGCCAACTCCAGAGTACCACTGTTAAATGGTCATCTTGTAGAAAACTGAAAATAGATGTAACTATTTTTATGTATTCTCGCTTTTTATGTTGAAAATGGTAATTCATTGTATATTGGAACTAGTCACTCATTTTCTCGATCTTTCAAAAAAATGTATTGTCCAAATTTTTTCCAGCCTTTCCTACCGTTGTCTTGCTGTTGTTATCAGTTGTTACTGATTCTACGTGTTATATATACTTTTTGTTTGATGTATTGTTGATACGCATAGATTCCCACTCATTTTTTTGTATACGTTTTGTTTAATTTTGCAAGTAAAGTCGTTAGAAGAGGAAAACTACAATTATTGTGATTTGTGATACACATCCTGACATAATCTTATCGTTAAGCTGTGGCTAAGCTAGACTGGAAGCTATATGAATTGGTAGTTTATGAAACCAATTGTTACACGCATCACATCGGAGAGCGTTATCCAGATGAAAGACGTCATACAAGATCTGATGGTTTCTTAAGCAATCTTGCTACAAGATCTTTTGGCAAGATCTTGTAAGATCTTATCTCAAGATCATATATGATCTTGTAACCTCTTGTCAAAAGATCTTACAAGATTAGCTTAGGAAAAATGTTAAGAACGTTAAGCTCTTGTAACAAGAAATCGTATGATCTTACGAGATCTTGTATAAGCTTGTCAGCGATCGTGGAAGCTCTTATATAAAAATTGTGGAAGATTCTTTTAAGATTTCACAAATATTTTTTGTTTAGGGTGTCAGTCATAAGCTTGTCAGCGAGAGTGTGAAAATGATATTTACTTTTTATCACAAGATCATACGATTTCTTGTTACAAGATCTTACAAGAAGTGATGCTTCATTCTTACCACAAATTTTGGTACGATATATAGTACATATATATCACATAGCTCTGAAAAACAAAACTTAGAATTTTTTCTTCCTTCAACTTCACACATTAGCTGAGCACAAATAAAGTGCATGGCTATAAGAGACGTGGTTAGATACGTTCCTAAGGACATCAGAGTCCTTCATATGCTCGAAAACATTTTTTAAAGTTAGTCTAGAGGAAATCTATAGGACAGAACCAGAGATATAATCTGGTAAGCTCTGATGAATTCTTATATGATCTTATAAAATTTTTTCAAGATCTTGTCACTTCTTTCACGTTTATACAAGATCTTACATAATCTTGTTGCAAGAAAAATCTTGTGAAATCTTAGGAGATTCTTGAACCACAATTTTGTGAAATCTTGTAAGACCTTATAAGATTTTCATACGATCTTGTCAAGTTTTGTGATATCCTGCAATCTGATCTTACAAGAGCATTTTTCAAGATTCTTCGTCCTGGGTATTGTTGTCGTTGACGATAGCCATGGAAGAACGAAGGGCAGATGATGAAAAGCTGTTAGTCTATGAAGAATCGTCAGGTTTACAACGTTTACCGATCATGATACAAGAAGAGTTAATTAGGTGTGAAAAAGAGAAGAGTAAACAAGAATAACAAATCAACATTATCTAAAAATATACGAGACTTCGCAAATGCTCGGCCTCTCTCTTCATAATAACTTGTAATACTACCCGAACCGGCTTCGCTTAGAATCACATAACATATGGATAGTTTCTGTAAATCCACGTTGATAATTACGATTTACACTTAATTTCAACGCCTATTGTATTCTGATCTATTTCTAACATTTTCTTAGATTTTAAACGATTATTCAATTGTTATGAGTTATGCCTGTAGAATTAAAAACTATATCGTCTTGCACTTTAATTTTTTGAGAGACGTGGACAAATTTTGCTAATATGAACCTGAGCGCCCTCTCTAGTATATGAAAGCTAGTTTTCGATAGGTGAAGCTTATCCCAGTGAAAAATACAAGGTGAAACATGGAAGCGAAGCAACAATTTTCTTTTGCCACACGGCACTCAATCATCGCTTTCTGATGTGTTTTTAGACGAAAAGAAAAACCTTATAATTTGGTGCACTTGTTTAACAAAAATCACATTGCGAACCACTGTAACTTCTACTCTGTACGCATCATCATTTTGTCATCTAGATACTCAATTTCGGCGATACTTTTTGGTTGATATAATAATGACATTTTTGACGAATCGTTTTTATTCGTTAATCGGTTTTGAAATTCATGTTAAACTTGCAACAAAATCAAAGATATTTTCGAAAGCATCCGCTTTGCCTGCTCGTCCTACAAATACTCAGGTATCATTATTGGATATGTCAGTGCCGGGTTCATTACCATATTTAAATCGTTCGTGTTTAGAAGCCGGGATACGTATGGCTTTTGGTTTACATTGTTCAATAAATAAATCTTCATTCCTTGAACGTAAACATTATTTCTATCCCGATTCACCATCGGGCTATCAAATTACTCAGCAGCGTAAACCTTACGCATTTAATGGTTTTCTTGAATATCCGTTGATAGCAAAACGTGATCGATTACAAGCAAAATATGTCCCAGACAAAAAAGAAATTATTAAAAAATGTCGTATTGATCGAATTCAATTAGAACATGATACAGGACGCAGTATTCACGATGAGCATGATCAACGTACATTAATCGATTTAAATCGTTCGGGTACCGGTCTTCTTGAAATTGTTACACATCCCGATATTCGTACAAGTGTTGAAGGTGAATCGTTTTTAAGAGAATTAAATCGTTTATTGATTGCATACAATATATGTGAACAAAGTGGATTAGAAACACCAGTGAGAGTCGATGCTAATGTATCGGTGCATGAAAAGAATACGAAACCAACTGGATTTCGTGTAGAAATTAAAAATATTTCAAGCTTTGTTGATGTAAAAAATGCTGTTGATTTTGAATTGAAACGTCAAGAACGAATGTTGTTAAATGCACAACCACTTTGTTCCGAAACACGTACATACGATTCAAATAAACGACAAACAATACATATAAGACGAAAAGAAGAAAAAATCGACTATTGTTTTATGCCCGAACCAAATTTGCCACCATTATATCTATACGATGATAATGACATAATGCCGACAAATAACCCAAATTATATTAATATTGATGAAATACATCGTCAATTACCTTTGTCACCGTTTAAACAGCGAGAACAAATGCAAATAAAATATAAAGATTTTTTAACAACAGAGCATATTTTCGATCTACTTCGTTATGAAATGATGGACTATTTTAATGAACTAATGGCACTAGTCGAACCCTCAGATATCAATCGTCAACATCTTATACTCGAAGTACTATTAGATGATGTTAAACGAATGACATGGGGTGGAGAGAAGATGAATAAATTTGTAAAAATCATTAAACCCGAATTATTCTTGCATATAATTGATTATTTAGAACGACGTATTATTACACGATTTTCCTTATATGAAATTCTTTTGATTTCATATAAAAATAAACAGCCAGATAAATCATTGGAGCAAATATTAAATGATAATAATTTAGTTGGTATAGTAGATAATGAAAAACTAGTACCAATGTGTCAACAGGTTATTGATGATAATCCAAAACTTGCAGAAAAGTATAAAACAAATCCCAAAAAAGCTATAGAACAATTGAGATTAGCAATATGTAAACAATATCCTGGACGCATACATAACGATCTAGTCATTGATATATTCACAGATATTTTAAATAAACAAAGTTCGTAAACATTGCCGTTCTCATTTCTCATATATCTTCAGCTACACGCCACTCTTTTCTATTGTATGATTTTCGTGCCATCGCAGTTTGGCAGATCTAAAGAGTTGAGTGCAGGTCTAACTAACGATACCATTTTTCATACGTCTAGTATTCTACGTCGAATAGGAGATTTTAGTTTATACTTGACGAAATTTGTAGTTTTTCAATTGTGATAAGCTTTTAACTTTATTACAATTTCTTTACTAAGTGGCATGTATTGTTCTAAGAAATGTAGGACACACATTAGTCTATTGGTATAGTTAATATTCGTTTCTCTGTGAACGGTTTTCTCTTATTCAGGAGGATTATTGAGAGACTATCCATAATATCGAAGACAAATAAATCACATGTCTACGCTGTCAAGTCCTGTAAAATATACTTTATTTTAATAAACGTATTTTTCGACCGTTCAGTCATACGTCATCGCTAATACTCGTATATTTACTTTTAGATTTAACTGACAACAACGAAAACAAAATTTTGAAATAATAGCAAATATGATTTATAGAAAATTATTGGATTATTATGTCATGAAATATCGTTATTTAATTAACACATATCGAAATATATCATCTGTTACGTCACATCAACAGACAATGATGGCCAAAGGTCTACCAAAACGTGTACCAATAAATGGTGTGAAACATATTATAGCCATCGCATCTGGAAAAGGTGTTTAAAAGAATAACAGCACAAATTCTTGAATAACATGCACACGATTAATCTTGTAGGTGGGGTGGGTAAATCAAGTGTCAGCGTTAATTTAGGTAAACACAATATTTGCATCTTCTCTTGACAAACAACACTGAACGTATTATAAAAGAAATATTCTTGCAGTTAATGTTATAGGCGTTTGAAAACTCCCTCTATTCTCATTAATATCGATAAATTACTTGAATTAGACCATCTGAAGATAGTTTTTTCTTGGGAAGATGAATTTGCATTGCAAAGCGATAGTATGTAGTTTGAAGAATTATGTTGTAGCATTAGCACTATCAAAATTATCCTACAATGTTGGTCTATTAGATGCTGATATATATGGTCCATCTCTTCCCACCATGATGAATTTAACAAATAAAAAAGTTGAAGTCAACTCACATAATAATCTACTGGAACCATTATATAATTATAACATTAAATGTATGTCCATGGGATTTCTAACAAAATCGGACGGTCCTGTTGTATGGCGTGGGTTAATGGTAATGTCAGCCATAGAAAAAATGCTAAAACAAGTGAATTGGAAACCATTAGATTACTTAGTGATTGATATGCCGTACGTTTAGTAGCTTTTGTTTTTCGCATCGTCACTCTCGCACCATTATCTTTTAGACCTGGCACTGGTGATATTCAGTTGTCTATTAGTCAACTGACTTCCATATCAGGAATTGTTATTGTAACAACACCACAAGAAATATCCGTGATTGATGTTCGTAAGGCAATTGGCATGTTTCAATTGGTTAATGTACCAATATTAGGAATTATTGAAAATATGTCCACATATACCTGTCAAAAGTGCTCACACGAAGAACATATATTCGGTGTCAATGGAGGAACAAATTTAGCAAAAGAATTTAAAACAACTGTTCTAGAATTTTTACCAATCAATATTTCCTTTAGACAAGCATGTGATGAAGGAAAACCATATGTTATTGTAAATGATAGCGACGATCAAATGATCAGAAAATTTGAAACAATTGCGCAAAAGATTGTTAAACAAATACCAATAAAACAGAACGAACAAGTTGAGCAAAAATAAACAGGATATGTGTATTTATCATCGTTTTTTATACACTTACGCATTATGTTTTCCGATATTGTGACTTATCTTGTATATTTAAATACTGTAAAAGAATAAAGAGGTTTGTTTGTTTAAGCTTTATTTAATAAAGAGGTTTACTTTGAACATTATGGTTACCCATAATAAAAAATTAATGTTATATCTAATTATCATGATTCTTAACTTAAAACTTAACAAATAAAGAAAATAATGTATCAAGTACATAAATGACAGAGTGAGAATAGATGTGACGTTGTCATACAAAAACAAGGTTAGTCTTTGATAAACAAGACGCAGTCTTTGTGTCATGAAACGATATTACATGATCAAATGCACTTTTTATTGCTGATTTTCATTCCATTGTTTGGCTTCTTTATTTCATTGTCATGTTATTCAAAATAATGAAGAATTAAAAACATTAGATAAGTTTAGGTAAAAAGGGACAGTCTGAAATTTTTCTCATATATTTGCGAGATTTCACTGTTTTCAGTCGGAAAAACTTGCTATTGAACATTCCCTAGTGAATGTACTTGAGACCAAGTGCTTGGGCACTTGAAGATTTCGAAACGTACTTTGTGATACTTGGAAAGTAGTTTTATAAATCAGTACTTTATAAGTATTTGCTTCAGCACTTATGAAAATTTTTTAGTATCTTAAGATTTGATAAGTGCCTACATTACTTTTGATAGTACTTGGTAAAGTGCTTCTTTCGCAAAGTGCTGTTGTAATCAATTTCTATTAAACTGAGAAATGATGTTAGCACTGCACGAAAGAAAATATGAGTCGACTGGGAGTCGAAGCCAAGACTATGACATTCCGTATCCGTCAAAGTTTCATCATATCTCTTTCATAAGAACTTTTCTTACGTAACAAGCGCATACAGAGAAAGTGAGTTATCCTTCGCCAGCGCTAGAACAGTGCGTGTCGAAAAAGGGTACATCGCACAGAGAGCTATCGAGAAAACTTGTTATTCATTATCTGGTGTTTTACTTTTCTTAGTCAGGTCATATACGGCTTTACCTGTCTTTCCTCTCTTATATCGCATAGATATTTACTTGTCGTTTTGGGTTATTTTTCTTTGTGATATTATACGTCACAAAGTTTTTAAAAAAATAGATTCATTTGTTATAGTTAGTTGCAGATTAGATGACAGCGAACAGCATTTAGTTTTAGTCTTTAATTAAGAGTTTGTCTAATAGGATTAACTTTTTAAATAACTAAATATGGATACAAAAGAGTCAGGTCTTGCAGATTTGGGACATTTGCTCGAATGAAATTTCCTCGAAAGGGATAATCTCGAAAATAATTTCCTCGAGTGAAAACCTCCTCAAATTTTCCAAACAGAAATTATCAATATTATTTGCAGCGTTTTTCTGCAACTTCTGAATCAAAACCCTTACTGAATTAAATATCCTCATCCCAATATAGAACAACAAATAATAAAATAGCTGCTATAGCTCGTAATATCCATTTATAAATTTTATGTTTCAACTAAAGCAGTTTCATGGATAGATAAATGAGATAGGCTCAATTCTCTTGTTGGTATTTATCTGTAGCTGAAGTAATTTTTTGTGTTCATCTTTAATATGTTCTATACACTGCAAATAATATTGATAATTTCTGTTTGGAAAATTCGAGGAAGTTTCCATTCGACGAAATTATTTCTGAAATATCTTTCGAGGAAATTTCCGCCAATCATTCTTGCATCTTACACAGCCGCTTTTAATTGCATGATGCAAGATCTAACTATTAAGAGCAGATTCGCATTGTAACTCAAAATGATAACTTTACTAGATAAGCAGTTGCCCTGTGCTTCAAGTACTCGAAGAGAAGGATATGACCGGTACTTGCCAGTTACCTAGAAACCACCTGAAACACTTGCAGATAATTTCCAAGTACTTGGATCATATAACTTGCGCTTGTACTTCCTTAAGTACTTGTCAAGCTAATCAAGTACTTGTATCCCTTAAAGCACTTGGTAAGTGCCTTTTTTACTTCCAAAACACTCCAGGTACTCTAGACATTACTTACCCAAGTACTTGTCTAAGTACCGGATCTCAAGCACATTCACTAGGGTTGTGCTAAATCAAATAATTTTCATGCTGATGTGAAAACCACCTGGTAGTGTCCGATCACTTTTGAGTTAGATCCAAACTGCGAAAAACCTCATTCGTATGCCTCCTATTACCCAAACTATAGAGTAGTTTCTCAATAGACTACTCTACTATTGGGAAAGAAAAAAGACTGTCATAGAAAATAACAAATTCATATCTCTGTTGATAAAATCTAAGCATTTCAGAGTGATTTAGACTTTTCATAGTATTCCAATATGAGCATGTTGAATTGGGCAACCTTTCTAGGCATCTACCAGTGCCAGTTAATTCGATTTCTGTCAGCAAGTCTTGTAACTATACTTGATCTACCTGATATTTATCAAATAAACGAATTTGTGTCCTCTATGTAATGTACTACATAATGCAAGATAATTTATTTAATCTTCTCAACGTAAGATTATTAAGAGCTGCTGACGTTGATTAACTACGAGTTCTCTGAGAGCAATCCTAGCTTGATGGATCTTTCGATGAGGATCATGGAATTTTGTCTTGAGATGCAATTTCTTCCAGTGTGCGAATTCAAATCAGTTCACCACAATAGACCGCAATTTACAACGTATCTAAGTAATTTAAAAATAAAATGCCGATATTAATTGAAATCGGTATTCCCGTACTGGTGTATGCCTAAACCTTTTCTTATTTTTCAGTAAAATATCAGGTAAGTGTTTACCAAATTCTAAAGGAAGGGTACATAGAAGCAAATCTGTGTGTAATTTGACATAGATAAGATATATTTAGTACGATTACCCTACAATGTTAACCATGACGAAGGTCGTGATTAATTTGTAGTATGACCATGACTATAAGCGTAATTGATTTTATGCATCATTAAAAATTATTAGCATAGCAATAAATACCGCTCATTGTGACTGACAAGAAAGTTCATGCCTACCAAACAAATCCCAGAAATATTTGTTCTCACATTGGCGCTTTTTCTCCTCCGTCAGTTAAATAATTTTATAATTTTCTGTCTGTACTCGTTAACTTAACTTTAAATTGAAGCTGACAATATGAGCTACGACACTGGTTACTTTGGCTTCAAAATACGTTTACATATACCGGACACACTTTTCTGAAAAATTGTCGAAGATTTTTCTGTCTTCTGTTTTTGGCGCGAGGTACTTCCAAAAGTTTAGGAAAAATTTTGAAACAAAAGGGAGCGAAGAAATTTCCATGGAAAAATAATATTCGTTTGAAAATTTTTCCTAAACTTTTAAAAGAAAACTCTCAAAAATAGAAAACCTTTTGGGTTATCAAATGTGCTGAAAATGAAAAGCACTTTTCAACAACTCAAAACCAACTTTATTTTTTGTGCCGGTGATATGCCATAATTTTCGCAATCAGATTGTACCAGCAAATGAGAAAAAATATTGAACTAGATAAACCGTCTATAGGATGATGTTTAGGTGCAAATAAAATTTCAAAAGTTGATGATGCATGACGAATGATTTACAGATCAAGAACAGATTTGAACTCACGTTTGAGAAAGCATATGATTTTGTTTTGTTCATTATGGAAAAAACACAAGCTTGAAACGTTATTTCATTCTGAATTGAATGTTTAATGTTATAACAGTAGAATATTTTCTTTAGTTTTTAAACATATATATTATTGAACAAGATGACCAATCACAGCACTAAGGTCAATGCGTTCTTCTGGTAAAATCAGGAGAAACGCGTTGTTTGTGACAATCCGGTTGGCCACCCAGTTACTGAACACTAAAATCAAGATATTTCTCATCTACGTCAATATACTTAAACAGAGAACTTTAGCAAATTTCTTGCTTCGGAGAGTTGATCGACCGTTCTATGGACTCACTCTTCATGCTTAATGTACCATAGTTAACATTATACTCATTATGATAGATTTAGGAGCTATATATAGAGTAATTCACAGATCACTGTGACGAAATAAGATAAATGATAATAAAGAATCAAAGTCTCTATTTTTTTAACAACAGACAAATAAATGCTTAAATTGTAAGGTTATTATCTAATCGATGAATTGATTAATTGACTGATTATTACGACATTGAAAACATTTCCTATACATAAAATCTATGGTATGCTTCACTGAGTTTTATATATCGAAAAGACATGACTCTTCAAAGGCAAAAATGAAACAAATAATTTATACAGACGCGTGTGCATCATCTATAATTAGTAAATCCAGACTCTTTGCAAATAACTGAACAAAAAATATCGTTACGGACAACAAGTGTGTTATCTTTAATTGCAGAATTCAATAAAGATATGATAACGAACAATTTATATAAAAAAATTTACCTTTATCTATTGGATAGGGGAGAAACATACAAATTTGTTTTTTTATCAATAAAGTTATCATGAGCCAAGAAGAGAGCGTAGGATACGCGTATTATTAGTGATTGTGCACACGCTTGCATATACAAAAAAAGACAAACGATAGTAGAGGAAGAATATATCATAGCATAATATGTTTGTAGATATTATAAAGAAAATAATTTTTCATCGTATAGTAGTATTAGAGGAAAAAAAACAGAGCATTGTCATTGTTCAGTTATACCTTTTGTTAACTATAAGTAGAAAACTAATTGTAAATTATTAACTTTTATAATACAAAAACTTTCTAAACAGAGATCTGTGCTATTAAAAGATGTCTTGAAGAAATTTCAAAAAATCTGGGTATGTGTTCAGTATCTCACGCATGTTAATGGTAGACTATCTTGCCTTTTCATTCATAAATCGACATATTTCTAGTTAACCTGATCCATCATTAAGGAAGAAGGAAGAATACCTCGTCTTGCGGCTACCGTGTGGGATGCTGACCATTGTCAGTTTCTATAGTCCGATATCCTTCCTGCAGCTGACAAGCTGCGGACATGGTCACCTATCTCGTTACTAGTCATCAAACTGCAGCTCTTATCAGAAGGCTAGTCTGAAGCCGACTTCACCCAATTGCGTGCGCTTCCCATACATACTTACTAACCACGTACTAACTTTCCGAAAAGCCACGAAGACTAATAAGAGGAACTGTATTGTACGCCACAGCGTAGAGAGTATACTGTCGGACGAATGGCCTGAGGCATTATGACATAGCTAACTTGTCCAAGTTTATTACACGCCCTGACGATTCTGAGATTCGAACACACTACTTTTGAAGTACGTGACGAACAATATAATTCCCAAGCCATGCTGTCCATCATTAAACTAACTGTCCAATTCATTTTCTACATAGTTTGCCGATTTCAGATAGAATCTTATACAATTAAATATGTCGCTGAGAAAAATATTTAGTATTTTCTCAGACAATGACAATAATGCTATGCCTCGTAAAAATCTTAGAATTATTATTACGAGACATGGTGAGCGTGTTGATTTTGCGGTTGGTGAGGGCTGGACAAATCCTACGAATGGACGTTCCGATCCTCGTATACCCCATTTACCACCGAGACTAAATTATGAAGACTGGGAATTTGACAGTCCACTAACCGTTAATGGCGAAGCACAATCACTGCGTGTTGGACAAAGATTATTAAGAACGGGTTTACCTATTGATTATTGTTATTCTTCTCCAGCGTTTCGTTCAATTCAAACGGCTGACAAAATATTAGAAAGTCAAGGAAGAAGAGAAATAATTCCAGTGAATATTGAGCCGGGTAAGAACAGCTTATTATGGATCACATTATTTTAGCAAAAATACAATTTTTATTTTGTTTACAGGCCTCTTCGAATGTCCACTGTGGTATGCTGGTGCGCCACTGCCTTTTTTATCCATTCCAGAGTTGATGGGTGGCTATTATAACGTTCAACCGTATTACTCTCCTGTGTTTGGTGGAGTCGATATTAATGAAGATGAAATAATGTATTATAAACGCAGTAGAAAATTAATTGATGCAATTGTAGACGTTCATAAAAAAATGGGTGGAAATATTTTGCTGTCTGGTCACGCTGGAAGCTTAGAAACATTGTCACGAGCTGCATTTCACGCTAGTCCTAGACCCGAGCGATTAAGAGAACTAGCTGATCGTGTCGATTATTGTAATTATACGATTCTTGAACGTAATGCAATAACAAAGGCCTGGTCATTTATTCCACAGCAAACAAGTGCACATCATCATTCTACTCGTCCATTACCTCGAGCAACAACACAACCTCTGTATCAACCAGTTCCACTATCCTATTATCCAAATTCTTCACGAATGGATCATCGACGGACACATCTTCCTGGAACAAGACGAGCAACAAATCAACTGGTGCCACGTTCACGTTCATCAACGGGACGACATTTCAGTCATTCAAGTCCTCAACGTGTATCACGTTATACTAATCCCACTGTCGTAGGACACAAGCGAGTTTCACGTCGAGCACGCATTTGATGCTAAAATATTTTTTTTACTGTTTTCAACGTTAATAGATATTTGTTAATCCATTTGTTGTTTTACGAAAGATATAGTCCATGATGGCTAACCTAGTTTGATTAAATTGATTATAATTTCTTCGGTATGTTGAGTGATGATCACCTCTATGTAATTTGTAAGATGCTGCTAATTTTAAGTATTCAAACGTTTTCTGAAGATAGATAATCTAAAATATTCAGCAGTCCCAAGCTTCGAAGATTTTGTATGGATCAAGTTTTGGACGTTATATCTAAATCCTTCGAAAAATCTTTACAGACATAATCTTCAAATATATATTACTACAGTTATTAATAATATTAATTACTCTTAATTGTTAATCTGAATTGATTCATATAGGCTTGAATTCTTCTCGTTCATTTCACATAAAAAAAAAAAGAATTACAATATAAAAACAACAAAATACAAATAAAAAACATACTGTTTAAAAAGAAATCAAAATTTTGTGAACTATTATGCTTTCATGAACATATCTTAGCGATAACGACTAGATTTTCTTATCTTTAGACTACACTACGCAGTTTTAACTAGGCCATGAACAAAAACATCTGACATAACATATAATCAATGCTAGCTAAATATATATCTACATACACGTATTATGATGCTCGACTTTGTCGAATGAATAAATGCTGCTGGTAAAAAACAAAAACACAATACATAATAATTAGACAAAAAAAAAACAGAGAATAGAGAACGACTAAAATATGTATATTTATATAAATGACAAAAAAAAATGATATTTACAAAAAAAAACAAAATAAAAACTATTTTGAATTTTGGTCATGAACATTTTTACTTTTGTATTCAACGATTCAAAAATTAAAAAAAACTTTACATTTTTGTTTCTTCAATATCTTCTCCATTCTGAGTAACTTCGTATCGAACTTGATCATTAATTATATGCGCATGATTTGCTCCCATACTAATCATCAAAAATATCTAGATTCAGAGAGAAACAGCAAATAACAACAGATTTTGAATGATATTTATATAATTAAATGAAATCTATACTTACAAAACTTATAACAATCATAAAACATGAAACTGTCGCTACGAACGCCAAAATCAAATAATCTCGATACGGCTACAAAGATAAATTTTCAAATTTTCAAATGATTATTATTATCTAGTATCTTGCACAGCTAAGCACTATAGGTTTAAACTACAATACGCAAAATATCTGTTTGCCCGATATTACTTTCAAAAATACATGTTGAATCAAAAATGGTTCGAATTTTGAAACATAGGGAATCTTCGAGGTATTACAGGATTGGGAAAATCTTTTAAGTTATAATTAAAGTGTGTGTGTGTGTGTGTGTATGTGTTCACAAAAAACTACTGATATTATGGGAAAATATGCTTCAAAGCAGGATATGAAACATACACGGACAAAAGTATATTCTGTGATCAAAGCTTTTAGCTGAGAAAAGGCAGTGGCAATCGAATTTTGAATAAGTCCTAGATAATAATGTTTATTTGCAGGGAGAAGCATCTTCTGTGATTGAAATCGAATAATATATACTCTACCGGAATGAGATTTATATTGATTATTGGGTCTTGCAGATTATACTCCGTCTAAAAGTATGGATGATATATCGACTTTTAGTAAAACTATCCATCGCTGAATGAGTAAAACTTGAAAATTCTCAATATCATATGATTTTATTATTACACATATACACACTTACCGGAGTGCAAAGATCGGCAATTGTGAATGATTTATGTTTGTCAGCTTTGTGAATTTCATGACTAACTTCATTCAATACTAAAAACCCCAAAATAACGAATAATAATTGTTTTTACTCAAATTATAGATTCATCTACGTACGATTTAAAAAATTGGTTGATTTTGCCTCTTTTCTGCAAACAATAAAATCGTTATAAAGTAATGCGTACAATGGAATAATTGACACACAAGTTATTAATAACCAACCAAGTGTTGTTAAAAATATTATAAATAAAAACTACAACAAATAAAATGTACGATAAACTCTTACGCGTTTTGAAAACAGAGGCTATAATAGATATTGTCGCCGCTTTCTTCTCAGATTCATGGCGTATGTACATGCAAGATGATCGAAATAATTCGATACTGAAATGAAGAATTTTACTTACGAAACCGTTTAATAATCTTGCGCAAACATTTTTCTTGTGACCCCAAAAATATTTTTTACGTGTTTTCCCACTCAACATGGTAGCTAATAAAACAGCAAATAAGCCTAATACACATGTAAATGCTACGCCACATCCAACAGCGATACGTCCAAAGAGTAAACTGAGAAAAATATAAAATTATTTATTATTATATAAAATTTCTACAGAACAATTTTTTACCATTTTTTACATCCCCATTTATCACTTTGTCCCATTTTGTGCATACTATAAACTGTTGTCATTGTAAATATGGCCGAGCCTATCATAAGTAATAAGTAGGAAAATAACGATGGAAAGGGTGTTTTATAAAACATGTTGCCACACTGTGAACAAGCGTCTAAAAATTAAAAAAATAAACTCATCATTTTAACTTAAATATAAGATATTTCGAATAACAGAACAAAACTATCACAATGGAACAATAAATAAAAAATACACGCGCACATATTGTTTTTCTCCATAATTAGAGAAGAGAAAGAAAACAACATTTTTTTTCTTTTAGTTAATATGACTGAATAAACTTAACGAATTGCTATAGAAAAGCCTAACGCTATTTTATATTACATAATGTAAATATAAATTCTTCTTTATTAGCACACTATATCTCTATTATTAGACATAATCATCAGACTTTCAAATAGTAGTAATGTTCATATTACATAAAAAAAAACCAGAAAAGAAATATAACTGATTTTTTTCTCTCTCTGTCTCTCTTTTTCTTGCTCGTTCGGAAAATCATTTGCAGCTAGATTATATGGACATATTACACATACCACAGCTGCCGTATTGAACACACACAGAAAAGAGATTTCATCATATATATATATATATATATAATATATTTCTTATCATCAGCTCAAATATTTTAGAAGAAAGAAAAAAGGCGTTTCCCGTTTAACTTATTTTTTTATGACGATAGATTAAGGTTGTGGTTCAGTATGCGGAGAATATTCTCGAAAGAATATACATAATTTCAAATCATTTTTCTATCGTAAAAATCTCTTTTAAGAGCAAAGTGAATATTATTTCTATTTTAAGTAGCTAAAACAATGTGTTCCACTTTCTACTAACTTAGAAGACGATATCTTTCTACCTTCTTGGAATGACAAATGAGAAAGGATTTAAATCCTTATCTTCATCGTTTTTTTCTCTTTTTTTGATGAAAAAAAATTGGTTTCTTTTCAAATGACTTAAGAGACTGCTCTAAGGGAATTATTGGTAGATGTAAAGAAGACCAGTTATAATATTTGCCGATTGTACGTAACAAAACATGAAATTTTAATTGTAATTCTTGCTACATCTCAAACTTTATCTAGGGAATAAGTACTATAGTTAGAAAAGAAGCAAAGAAATGTATTACGAGTGAAAACTTCTGATGAACAGAGGTTAACTCTCTTTAGTAGATATAAACTTACGCAATATTTCTCCTTTTTTTCACATTATAATAACAGGATGTGTGTATGTTAGTGAACTGATTAGTATTCATTGTTTTTTTCTATCGGAAAAAGAAGTAATCAAAAATTCTTTTTTTAGACAGAAATCTAAAAATCTCATCACTTTGAATAGGGAAAAAAATTTATGCTACTGACAGTGAATACAAACTCATTTCACGTACAGTTGAGATGAATAGGTGGAGAGTTCAGCATATTATTCAATGTCTTCGCATACAAACATCAATATTATTTCAGAGAATATATTCAACTACACTCTTAAAAAAATGTATTCTTCAGTTTTTCAAAGAACTGAAAAGTCAACGGGAATTTTGTTCTTCATTTGTCCCAAATAGAGAACTCAAATTCAGTTCTTCAGCTCTCAAGACCTCAAAATTTGTTTTTCAATTTTTCAAAGAACAAAAGAAATGATTTTTTAAAAAACTGAAGAATAAATTTTGAGTTCATGAGAGCTGTAGAACTGAATTTGAGTTCTCTATTTGGGACAAATGAAGAACAAAATTCCCGTTGACTTTTCAGTTCTCTGAAAAACTGAAGAACACATTTTTTTAAGAGTGTACACTGTCAAAAAAAGTGTCTCGGTCAACCATCGGGATGGTTAAAATGCATCCACTTAATGAAGTCACATCAGGTGCATTTTCTCATCTTTTCTACTGTTAGTCGCCTTGATGTCTTGACAATACACCTCTAAAAACCACTTAGGTTAGGTGCTTTCAATAGGCATCACTAACGCATCGAAAAGTTACAAGGAACTAGCTACGGCGAAGACACCTGGTTATCCATCAGCCATGGATAGATCGCGTAATTGCATTCAAGGCACTAGAAATGCATCGGGACTCTTGTTAGACAAGTCATTCTGGTACCTAGTCAGGACATCTCTAGCAAGAGTAACGAAGAGGTAACATCTTCAGAAAAGTGTCCTATCCACATTGTTTCTTTCTCCATTATACTGACTATTATACTCTTGAACAGACTATTTTTAATCTATTGCTTGTTTTACGTAATTATATGTTAGACTCAAGTGATACGGGTGGTGGTAATCTACGTCTATCTTATCTATGAATTGATTTTCGAAAGTAAATGCTTTTGCTATTTTAGCAAAGAGTTGAAAATAAAATCTGTATAGATATATATAAACAATTTTCTCTATTTAGTAAAACAATCTCACGATATTTAAGTTATATCCCAATTTAATCGATTATATCAATAAAAACGGTAGTTTCTCTATTCGCTGCCCCGTACATTTTACTCAGATGCATTTGGAAAAATCCTATAACTAACAAATAATTAAGTTCTTATTTTCTCAACCTGTCTATATCCAAGAAGAGAAACTAACATTCTTTCTACTTATCTCTTCATCCTAGACAGACTTATCTCTTTTTCATTTTTTTGGTCGCAGTCCACTTTTATAAGGCAGCCCAGCGTATTTAATGCATTCTGGATGCTTTATGGATATTGGGATGCCCTACTTTATGCATTAAAAATGCATCTGACTTACATGAGAGAATGTACCCAAGATGCCTTGACTAAACATTCACGATGTCTTACAACGACATTATGGTGCATCAAATTGAAATCCTGGCGCCTTTGTACGGCAACGTAACGCGTCTTTTACATGGAAATATCATCTTATTGATAAAAAATGAGATTGTCTCTAAGGCGCATTTATTGCATTTTATTGCATATTTAGTGCATTTATTTTTAATGTACCTCGTTTTTCAGTGTATAGTATTTGAAATTTTAGACTTCATATATGAGTTATAACGATATAGATTACTCTTCTTCTCTCATTTTACTTAAATAGAATATATGTCTCTCTATTATGCTATAGTGAATCTCTGAGTTGGTGTAATTGATCTAAATCTTTCTATATGATGTACACATGCATTCGATTTGCATAAATTAATTATATCGTGTACAAAAAGGCAGCAGATATATGATCACAATAGAAAATACAGCCAAGGCTATTTTATTCATGCCCTGGGGTTAAAGATTAGCGTATATACCTATTATCAAGGTAGAGATAGAACTCTCTTGATGATTTATATTGCAGACGAGATAATATACTATATATTGGTTAAAATAAATGAAAAGAACATAAAAATCTATTATATAAGGCTATATTTAAACAAAAGTGAATCTGATTTAGATTCTATTGAACCATATACGAACGAGTCTTTTGTGTATTATTGTTTTTTTGTCTCATTGTTCATCATATTCTCTAGCTGTTTTTTTTAGGTATCCATTTGTATTGTGTAAAAAACAAAATGAAATAGCATAGAAGAATTTTACACTATTTGCATGTTTAATATCTATAATGTATGAAATTAAAAATTGGGACTTACTCTATGTTGATAATTATTGTATGAAAATTAAAAAAGTTGATAGACCACAAATAAGAACAACAAAGCTTATACACATTCTCACATAGATTTTATAAGTTATAATAAATTTATGAATAGATGTTTGCAAATATACAGTTAGAATATTTTTATGCCTTGTCTGCGCAATGTCTTTATTATTATTATTTCTATTATTCTCAAATAATAGAATAATATTTAGATTGATCCAGACATGTTTCTATTTTCTCAAATAAGATAAAGGAAGAAAAAGGCAAAAATTATTCGGTTCAGGAGAAAAAAAGGCAGTGTGTGAATAAATAATCAAAAATGGGTAAATACATATGGCCAGTACATTGATGCACTTAGAGTACCAAACACAAGAATCTTTACCTTGGTATTAGACACTTTGACCATTACCTTCGTTCATCAATTAAATTCATCAACGATCCTGGAATATCGGTTTCTTAGGAGATCTAATCTTATGAGTACTCTCAAATAATGCATTCGGATGAAATTTGACTAACCAATTTTTTTGAGACTGTTAAACGTACTTAAAACAAATTATCATTCCTTCACACTCTTGTTTTATTCCTCTTCTATATTAAACTTGTAGTCGACTAACGACAATGTTCCTATAAAATTCCTACAACTTGTAAAACAATGTTTCTGATGTAATTCTCAAAAGGTTATCTGTTTACAATCATCTATTGCTAGACAAATATATGTAAATGCAATATTTCTGTATCAATATGCTAGCGGCGATGTCAAAAGGAATTTTGAACAGTTTTTCTCTTCTTTTTTTTTCTCTTGTCGTATCAACACGTACACATCTATATATACACATATCAACAACAAGTTTAAGATTAACTTACTCGACATTTACATTAATGATTATTCTAGGACAAAATAACCAAATTTTTTTTTTCGTACGCCCAATCCTAATAATTTGTTTCTTTTCCGTTCTCTTTGTAATAATAATGATAATAATAAATAATAATCTGCCTACATACACATCAACAAAACTTGATGAGAACAGATTAGCAGTACACAAAAACTATACTCAGCCTTCTCCTTCGGCTGGATGATTTCAATTTGATTTTTTTTTTCGTCTTTTTTTTTCCTTCTGTATGGAAACAGTCTTTTTCTTCTTTGTTTGTTTAAATCCCAGTAATTTCACATTCCTGTATGTATGTTCCTATGTATATCTAAAAAAAAAGAGAATAATTTTAACTTAAGAGAAAATGGCAAGAAAATCCATGAGTATTATGTTAAAAATAAGAACGAAGCCGCATCAATGAAAAAAGGGTGACAGAGCAATATACTGGACTTGAGAATATTTAGAAAACTTCTTATGGCTATCTTTGAGTATGTGTCGTCTTACTTACGATATATTCACTAAATGAGGAAGAACTTATTGTATCGAATATACAAGCGAATGCTGACTGAAAACTTTTGTAGTATCCGAAAAATAAACGACAGTAGTTGATTTATATACTAAAGAGATTAACTGCGAAACTTTTT